CTCTCTCTCTCTCTCTCTCTCTCTCTCTCTCTCTCTCTCTCAATAAATTAACATTTAAAGTAGGCAGCAAGCTGAACATAAGTATTTATTGCTCCCTGATTTCCGACTGGATGCAGTGTGAGCAACTCTCCCATTCCTGAAGCTACACTTCCCCACCATGATGGACTGTATCCCTGGAACTGTAGATCAAATAAACCTTTCCTGCCTTAAGGAGATTTTGCTGCAGCAAGACAAGTAACCAACATGCAGCTCAGTACACTGAAGGAGCCCAGGGCTACTCAGGACAGATCCCACTACCATCACCACTACTGAAACTACATCCACCAACAAGTAGGGTCAAATACAGCTCTTATATATTAAAAGTAGTATATACATATGCATGACTGTGTGTATGTATATCTATCTATCTATATGTCTATATATATATATATTGTATATGGCTGATGTGGTGGGTTGTCACAGTACATATCTTCCACAGCTTTTTTCCAGAACTGCATTCGCATCAGTCCAATTGTTTTCTCAGAGACTGAGTCCTTAACCTGTAAAAAGAGTTTAGAAACTCTAGACTGGAAATATAGTTTATTGGTAGAGTGCTTGTCTATGTATAGAAGCCTTAGGTTAAAACCCCAGAACAGAAATGAACAAACGATAACAACTTATTGTCTGAAAACCAAGTATTATAAGGGACTTCTGAGCTAATCAAACTGTCCTATACCATTACATGACTACATTTTTAAGAGCCAACACAAAGTGTAAAACTGACAATGCTCATTTCCCTTGATGCTACTAATTAATCTCTTTTATTAACATAATATATAAGCCAGGTGTGGTGACTCATGCCTATAACCCCAGTATTCGGGAGGTAAAACAACTGCCAAGAGCTTGAGGTTAACCTGGGCTATGTAAATTCCAGGCCAGCCTGGACTACAGAATGAGACCATGTCTAAATTAACTGTATATAAATCAATGTGGAGATCAAAGGACAACTCAGTGAGTCAACTCTCTTCTACCAGTATGTAGGTTCTGGGAGTTGAACTCATGTCGTCAGGTTTGTGAGGTAAGTTCTTCTACTCTACTTAGCCATTTCACTGCTTTTAGAATTGTTTCTTGCTGGGTAGTGGTGATGCACACCTTTAATACCAGCACTTGACTTGGGAGGCAGAGACAGGCTGGTCTCTGGAGTTCAAAGCCAGTCTAGTCTATAAAACAAGTTCCAGGGCAGCTAGGACTGTTAAACAGAGAAACCCTGTCTTAAAAGTGTTGTTTCTTGGGGCTGGAGAGACATCTCAACAGTTAAGAGCACTGGCTGCCCTTCCCAAGGCCTTATGTTCAATTCCCAGCAACCACATGGTGACTCCCAGCTCCAGTTCTCCAGTGACTCTACAGTTCCAGGAGATCTAATACCCTCTTCTGGCTTGCACAGGCACCAGCTGTGCACATGGTATATAGACACACACATAGGAAAATACTTATACACATAAAATAATAATAATAATAATAATAATAATAATAATGGTTTCTTCTTGAGCTGGGGTAGCAGTACTAACCCTTAAGCCAACACATGACAGGTGGAGGCAAAAGGATCAAGGCATCCTCAGCTATATAGCAAGTTCAAAGCCAACCTGGGTTACATGAGAGCCTGATTCAAAGAAATCAAGCAAAAAGCCCTTTTCTTTAGCAAACAGGCCTCTTCTACCGTCACTCTGTGTCACCAAATCTGCATTTTGAGAACCACTGCAGCATTTGGATTGCTTCGCCTCTTTGCATATGTTAAGTGTAAGTATGCTTTGCTCCGGTGGTCAGAAACACTTTTTGTGATGGACACGGAAAGCACAGCCAGCTGCAGAAGAGTCACCCATCAACTCTGAACATCAGCTCTGAGCGGCTCGGTACAGTGGATCCCAAATCTGCAACTTGATTTTTTTGGTGACTAACTTCAATTATGCAACATTGATTGTATGAGGACAACCAGCCACACATTTCCCCCACAAAACTGATGAATCAGCAGCCTGGTGAGGTGGCTCAGCAGTTGAGGGCACTTGCTGCTCTGACAGGTGTTCGGCTCCCAGCACCCATGTGGTGACTCACAACCATCTGTAACTCCAGATTCAGGGGATCCACCACCCACTTCTGGCCTCCATGGACACCAGGCACATATGCAGTGTACATTCATACATGCTGGCAAAACACCATACACATAACATTTTTTAAAAACCTTTCTTTAAAATGAAAAACCAAGGAAGATTTTCCTACTCTCATTCCCCTATATGTAAGAGTGATGGCATGGAGCTTGGCATGATGCACACCTTTATTCCCAGCACTTGGAAGGCAATGGCAGAAGATCTCTCAGTCAAAGGACAGCCTAGTCTACACAGTGAGTTCCAAGAAAGCTAGGGATACATAGTGAGTCCCTACCTCAAAACAAACAAAATCAGGGTAATTATATAGTGCAGATGCCTCAGTGTCCCTGGAGAGTTGCTGGTGGCTTCTAAACTTTCAGGGAGGAGGAGGCTTAGCTGAGGAAAGGACAGACTCACTGGGACAGAGGATGGTAGCCAAGGCTCCAGTGGAAAGGTGGCTACCAGGAGGTGCACACACCTTGGCACTAGCAGCAGCAATGGCCTATTCTATGCATGAATGAAACTCACTCATTCGGTTAATAACGTGTCATACATGGGCCACTTTCTTCAAGACCCTGCACTTCCTTAGTCCCTCTTCCCAGTATCTGACCTCTCCACTTGCTGTCCTGAGAAGACCAAGACCATTCTACTAAAGCCCCTTCCCTTCCACACCACTTTACACGGTTTGCATCTGCCCATGTTCTGTCCACTTGAAGAAGAAGGCTCTAGTCTTCCCTGTAATTCTGAGACAGAAACCAGGCAGGGTCTGCGAGACTCTTTGTGTTCTACCATGTAGGTATGCCAAAATACGTTCATCTTCACTTCACGTTAAATTTCAACCTTTTCCAATTTTCTATATACACACAAAGTTTGCAACTGTTAAGAGAAAGCAGTATGATTCTCATGAGTTTATTAGATTAACAGGCAATGCTAACTGCAAATTTGTAATATCCACAGAAAAACATAAAAATCCAGAATCATTTCCAGAAACATTCAATTCACCAGCTAGTTTTATTTTTTGGTACTGAATTAAGCCTAAGCAGTAGAAAAAAACAAAAACACTAGCAGAAACTTTAAGTACATCTAACATGAATTACTCTATGTCTTGATTGTTCAGTATTAAGCATAGCCCCCAAGCATCTTGTCATATTTTAATACCAGCCTGAGCCAGTTCCACGTTGAAGGCCCTCAGTGCAGAAACAGAGTTTCGGCATCCTGCAGGGAACAGCAGGGAACACAAGTAACTTTCATAATCCCGCTTCCTACAACAAACAGAGCAAAAGAAAAGTAGTTAGTCTTCACTCCCTAAGCTGCACACAAAATACTGACAAAAACCAACTGAAAACAATAAAGTTTTGGTTCACAGTAGGCCTTGTTCTTAAATTATATAAATTTCTCTACAATTATTTTTTTTAAAAGTGTCTGCTTCTCATCCTAAACATGTTAAAAAGGAAATCTATGTTTTATTTTATTTTTATTTACAACTTAGCCATGGTTCTCAACCCCTTGGGTCACTACCCCTTGGGGTTGAATGACCCTTTTACAGGGTTGCCTAAGACCAATGAAAAACACAGATATTTACATTATGATTCACAACAGCAGCAAAACTGAAGTTATGAAATAGCAATAAAATTAATTTATGCAGGTCAGCATGACATGGGAAACTATATTAAGGGGTAACAGTGTTAGGAAAGACTGAGAACCACTGGCTTCAAGGCCCTTGAAACTAAGCATTTTAAAATCAGATGCTGGGCAGGGAGAGATGGCTCAGCAGTTAAGAGCACAGGTTGCTCTTCCAGAGGGCCCTGATTTGATTCCTAGCATCACAATTGTTCCAGGAGTCTGATGTCCTCTTCTGATCTGTGGCACCGGCATGCACAAGGTGCACATACATAAATACATTCAGGCAAAACACATGTACATAAAATAAACACATCTTTAAAAACAAAAAAACTGGTGGCACAGACCTTTAGTCCTAGCATTGGGAGGAAGAGACAGGCAGATCTCCGTGACATCCAGCCCAACCTGGTCTACATAGCCAACCATGTCTACATAAATCCCTGTCTCAGCCCAGTGGTGGAGGCGCACTCCTTTAATCCCAGAACTCTGGAGGCAGAGGCAGGTGGATCTCTGTGAGTTTGAGACCAGCTTGGTCTACAGAGTAAGCTCCAGGATAGCCAGGATGTTAAAAAAAAAAAAAAAAAAAAAAAAAAAAAAAAAAAAAAAAAACCCCTTTTTTAAAAAAATAAAAAAAAAAAAAAAAAAAAGACCCTATCTCAAAACAAAAAACTGTACCAGATACCACTGTTAGCAAGGAAGGGCAAATCGAAGGGGTGGAGAGGGTAGGTGTTGTTAAACCATAAATGTTCACAAGGCAGGCCCAACCACCCCACAGGCCCACATAAGTCTATGGAGGAACTCCCAGATGTCTTTCCTGATACCACGGTAACATGGTAAGTTATGAGACTGTTCTAGTAAATCTCAGGCAAATTCCTTGTTCCCTTGATCTGACATGAAGTGTGATCATCTATTAATAAGATAATAACCTAACTCTGTGACAGGCATTGATCTAAATGCTGTTAAATTTATTTTAACAGGCAAATTCCTTGTTCCCTTGATCTGACATGAAGTGTGATCATCTATTAATAAGATAATAACCTAACTCTGTGACAGGCATTGATCTAAATGCTGTTAAATTTATTTTTTAAATTATGTATTTTATGTATATGCCTACACATATGTCAATGCACCTCGTGCCTACCTAGTGCCTAGGAACGCCAGAGGGGATTGGCTCTCCTGGAACTGGACTTACAGGCAGTTGTGAGCCGCCATGTGGGTGCTGGGAATCGAACCCAGGTCCTCCAGATCAGCCTGTGCTCTTAACCCCTGACCCATCTCTTCAGGCCTTAAGTGCTCTAATTCTTACAACCCTTGATGGGATCGCAATTTGTAAGGATCATTAAGTTAGTTGCTTTGGACTTTATTTTTGTAAACAATTTTTAGTACAGTTTCGTGGGGCTGATGTACGCCCAAAGATGACCTTGAACCCCACTCCCCACCTCCACTCCGGGCCTCTGCCTCATAAGTCACAGGCCAGTGTGCCAGGTTTTGTGAGACAACGTTGATCTAACTAACCCTCGTGCATGCTAGACAAGCACTCCACAAAAGGGGGTTAAATCTGTAGCCTCTGTGAAACACGTTTAATAGTGCAGCGCACGCAGAACCCAAAGTCTTTTAACGGTGTTAAAGTCACTAGCTGTCTACGAATAACAAGTGCTAAGCATGCAAAACTGCAAGGTCCCTTGAATTCAGGGTTCAGGCCGGGTGACTTGTTGAGCAGAGGACGAAATCCTGCCAGGATTCCACGGCCACGTGAACAGGCACCTGCACGGAGCGCAGCAGAACGCAGGACCCGGAGGACGCAGCCCCAACTCGGGGCTCAGCACTCCCCGACCGCAGGCTCCGGGCTCTCCGGGAC